ATAGCAATATGCTACCTCACTTTTCCTGAAAAACCCTTTTATATGTGGCATGCTCCACCGTGCTTCAAAACTGCTGGACAATGTACACGCACCTCAAATAAAATGAATTATCTTGGAGTTTCAAAATTGCTCCACAGAAGTGTAGTAGGGGACAGTGTGTTACCTAAACGAAAGAGAAATAAAAAAGAAGTGAAATAACGAATTCATATTGCTTGTATAAAATTTGCCCGTCCAACTCAGTCATCTCACCATGGTCTGAAGTTCCAGTCCAAAGTAATGTGCCCATTTAAGAAGCGGTCTTTATGGACTAGACGCGACCATGAGTTCACAGCAGAAAAGAAACAATTTTACCAAGTAAACCTGAAATTCTCTTACCCAAATGTGATATTATCTGGGTTTGATGAGAAACCATAGCTGTGTTTGGTTCAACCAGAATCTTTTAATTCAGAACAGATACCACGTATTGTACTGGGTTGTATCTTGTTAAGTATATCCAACCTATACCGAGGGCCAAACTCCTCGCTGCGATTGTACTGGTCTATTTGGCGACGTTCTGTACATGTGAGGTCTCCGTTCTTCCACCCGAGGATATCTTTGCCACCGTTCATGTCTTGTGCTTGATATTAACCATCTGCTGACGTCGATTACAGAGACTACTAAAATCGGAAGATAGACAAGGATGGTAAAGCAGGTTGTGTGTTATCCTCAGAACGTATCTGATCAATGTGACGCACGTAAAATAAGAAAAAAAACCAGTGTTTATTATGTTTACCCAGCCCACCTCAATGTTTGTGAACCTATGGTCTCAGGGCTTTTGGTTAGTAATGGCTCACCGACAAGGAATTTCGACGCCAAAGATTCGAAGGCTGTGATCATGAATCAATGCAATTCCTGATGGACGCGTTGGAGCATTGGTTCCTCTAGGTAGAATAGTACGCAGTGCCAATACGGTGGTAATGCTTGTTACCACTGAAGAATGTGTTCGGCCCACTCTCTGGTCCTATTAAATTAACCCAGATGAGGTCGTTGGGAATAGTCGCTTGCCGATTAACTTGTTGAATACAAAATATGCCCAAAAGCAGCATGTTCTATAAAATATGGGCACAAATTTCGAAAAAATGCTGTCGGAGAAGATTCAATTTTAGATCTCAAACAGTGTGAAACATTTCAATGTGAATGGTGAGTGACCAGTCTGCGCACATACCTTTAGCACACAAGTAAGGAGCCAAAAAAATTTTTTGTGGTTTCGAAACTTGGGGATTTTAAAGTTGTTGTCGTTGTGGGCCGTGGACTTCTTAAGAAATCGATCCGGTTTCTGTAGCGCAGTAAGTAAGTTGGTTGTCACTCGGGCCTCGATGTCCTCGGTGGACACCAACTTATGGCATTGTTGCGCAAATGTGTAGCGGATTGACATGATGATCTTGTATGATCCCAAGGAACTCACCCTTAAAACATCACTTGACAAATGTAACATAAGTCTGACTACCGGGTTCGAATCGAGTTCTACCATGACGACCGGTGCACAAGCGAAAGCACATTTAAAAGCTGTTTGTATGGGAGCTTATCAGGTCGGCTGCAACAGGGACGGGAAACTGTATTTTTAAACTTGATGATAGGAGATACACAACAGTACCGTAACGTGCTATCAGACCATATCGAAATTAAGAGCCTGTCGGCTGACAAAAGTACGGGTTTGCTTTTGCTCTTCGTGGTATTCAATGCAAAACTTTACAAGCAAAAAGACCAACGATCTGCATATGCGCAGACTGTGCCTTTCGAGCCTGAGGCAGCAGATTAGGGACATTAAAACACCATCCACAAAAGCAAACCCAGAAGATAATGTTTATGTTCACAATCCAAATTAACCCTTATAGAAAGTCTTGAGAATGCGAATGGGTGCTGGTGGCTTTGAAATTCTTCCGGCTATGCATCCTTTCAGGATCTCGGTTGCCCATTTTGTGTAGAGTCTGACACTTGCTCTGAGAGCTCCACGTTTCGCTTTTAAGCGTGATATATTTTGATGAAGCCAGCACTGTGTGGTAAAAATAAGGGAAGGACGCAAGATTAGCTGTGACATGGAAACTCCCGTCAACGACGAATAAAATTTTGTCCGGCGGACCTTTTGCAGCGCTGCTGATAGAAGTCGTTCAACAAAGCGCTTGGACCCAACATGTCGCTGCACCCACCAGATACCGCGCAGTCCAACTACCATCCCTCTTGGATTTGGTCATCACCAACGAAAGACACTTCGTTGATCAGGTAACAATTAACGCTCCACTGGGAAATAGCGACCACTGTGTGCTGACCTTTGATTTCATCTGCTATTGGGCCAGAAATCCCAAAGCTCAAACGTGGTTTCAAGACTTCTGCCGTGCAGACTTCTCAGGAATGCGCATCTTCCTTGAACAAGTCACACTGAGACCAGCTCCGGTGGAA